CAAAACCCCCAAAAACAGGCCGCGATAGCTAAACCCCCCTCCCCCTTGAAGCGATCCATTCGTCTTAAGCAGGCTCCATGCTTGGCCTGAAGGAGTTGTCTCAGCGGCTGGCTATCCGCGCACACCAGGATTTTGGACTGTGCCTTCTGAGGGCTGTCTCGAAAGTGCTGGCTCTGCAAAACGTGTAAAATGTTGGAGGCCAAAAGGCTCATCTGCTTCCAGGGATCTGCTGAGATGCTTTCACATCTTTGGGAGGCTCGCAATCTTCTGCATTCCAATTGCACGCAGAGCCCACGCCTGGAAGTTTTTGAAGATGAAGGTCAGGACCCAGAAGTTCAGGTTTGAGGCAGCAATCTGAGTTGTCAGGACTCTGGTGACTTTGCTTCTGGCGTCTTTCCAGCAACCTGCGTTCTATTGCCTGGGCAGCCTCAGGCTTTTTCCTTGCTTCATCTTACCCTGGCCCAAGGGGACACATGAGCGTCTTTTAACCAACCAACCAACCAACCAACCTGTTTGCGTGCTTCCCGACAGAGCACATACTTATCAGCGAAATCTGAGGCTCTGACGTGTGCAAACGTCTGACCAGCATGGTTGACCTTCTGCAACCTGAGCTTTTCACCCCATGCACGCAAGGTGCTGCCGCGTGTCTAGCTGTTCCAATCGCACAGCGAGCCGCACAGCTGGTGGAGCTTTTGCAGCGAGTCTCTTGAAGAGCGCGGCTGCCTGCTTTGCTCTAGACATCGGGGTAAGCTACTCTTTGAAGCAGCATGAATGCTCCCGCCTCTGCATCGAATGTGCGGCTAAGACAAAGCCTCAGGAACCCAGAGACAGTGCCTGCGTGCGCGGAAACATCCAGCTAGATGACATGACATGTTCATACTCACTCAATGGCCAAATGCCTGCTGCAGCTGCACGCATCTTAAGACGGCTTCCGATGCTATGACTTCTTAAAGTGCATGCCTCTTGGCAAAAGCTCGCGCGAGGTTCAGCAAAATGCCCCCTTGGCATGTGGGCAGCCTCCAATGCAACCCAGCGGCAAATGCAAAAGCGTGTCCCCTCTCCGGATGTGGACCTCATCCACCTGCGCTTTAGGGCACCGAGACATCGGCCCAAATGGAACCCCGGATACCCCGGAAAAAAGTGCCACTCAAGTATGAGCATTCCTGGCAAAGGTCCAACAAGAACACCACATCTGCATGGGGACTGCCACATGAAATCCTTCCCCCTACAAGTGCGGAGTGGCTGCAGACAGCACCGTTGACCAAAGCTACCTACAGTAGTTTCCGGACCTAGGAAGAGGACACCTCCTCACAGACTGGCGCCTCGATGCCATCATCAGTGCCTGGAGGAAAGGTCTCAACGACGAAGCGCGCAAGACCTGGAAGCGCTAGGTCGGCATGCTGGGATGGCCAATTGCACTGCTATGAATGCACTTCCGGAGAGGAAGGCTTTGAGGAGCTCTGGACAGGTAGCTGAGACATCCTCACAACAAATAATGAGGCAAACTTGTGCATTTGTGTTTGTATATCCTTGCATCCTAAGCCACGACCAAAGCCATGCACTGGGCAGCCCGGCTGTGATGATTGAAGGCTATAGCATGCCAAAGGATGGAGTGCCCAGAAGCCTTGCAGGGGCAGCTTGAGGGATCATCCCCAGAGAAAAGGACTCAGCATCATTGGGTGACTCGGGCTGTGGCATCCCGAGATCTCCCGGTGCATGCACCCCTGTCAATAGATGAAACTTGAGGGGCAAGCTGAGGCTAATGAAAGCCCGCAATAGCCAGCCAGGTCTCTATTCAGCACTTCACCAGTACCACGCGAGGGCATGCAGTGAGCACTGCAGCGCTGCCGAAGGCCCAGGGAGGTTTGATGCAACCACCCATGCCACCCTCTGCCCCTTTGCTACAGGAGACTACACTCAAGCCCAGCTCCGCTGGCTGCCCTGATCAAGCAAGTGTGTCAACTTAACTCTGCTTCCCAACGCTGAGGCAGAAGATCAGTTTCCAATCCAAATATCAAGGTGAAACTCTAAAACATCAATGGACGACACGTTCCACAAGAAGAACATGTGAGCTTAGCGCAGAAGACCTCCAGGCAAGATCTGTATATGTCTGCATCAAGAACCAGCGAGCAGAAACTCAAGCTTCAAATCTTGAAAGAAATTATCTGTACTGAGGGGAAAACTAAACGTCGCCAGACAACAGTACCAACATTTGCGTGCTTAGAGCCTCCGCACGAAAGCTTTCACAATCTCGAGGTCGCCCGTGTGGACCTTGAGCGCAGGCTGTCCAGCCCAGGGCTCCTTGAGCCCCTGAAACAGTTGAGCGCTAAGTCCGGGTAATCTATCCTTAGGGGATTCGGGGCATGAAGCTGCTTAGCAGAGCTCATGCTCTGCTGGCGTGCATGGCGCGCGGGGTTCTGAAGCACAGAGTCACCAGCCGCATGCCAGAGCTGCGATGCATCCATCTTCTGCGGCTGCTCCTGCGACCATGAATGCAGGCGTTGTTTTGGGCCACGGGGAGGCTTTGCGAACTTAGGGCCTCCTCTAAAGTCTCGATGACATCCTTGGAAGGCAGGGACACCTGCCAAGTGCTGACATCGCATGATGAAAAGAAGGCAAGCAAAAGAGAACTTGCCAGACATATACCTAAACCCTAAACCCTATCAACTCGATTATAGTAGTTCCCATTCTATTGTTCAATTTGTCCATTATCCCAAGATGACCCCAATAGTGAGGCTGGGCGAGTCAGTGGCTGATCCAGGAAGCAAGTCTTCCCTCAAAGCCGTACACATGGGGGATTGTCAAAATTATGGTCCCTTTTTGGGTCCCCTAAATTAGGCCCCGTATTAGGCCCCTTATGATAATAGGGACCCAAAAAGGGACCATAATTTTGATTATCCCCCACATTCCCGACAAGGCCTAGCAACACATTTTATGAAGCCACTTGGCTGCAGCCCGCTTCAGACTGAACTAAAGTTGTAATATACTATAGTAGTTTTCATTTTATTTTCCATTATCCCAATATAACCCCAATATACTATAGTAGTTTCCATTTCATTTTCCATTATCCCATTACAACCCCAATATACTATAGTAGTTTCCATTTTATTTTCCATTATCCCATTATAACCCCAATATATAAAGAGCCATGAATTTCTGTTTGATGGTTCGTTGTCCTGACTCCGGCTTCAAGTCCTGAAAGAAGTCCAAATGGGAGTTTCCCAAAATTAGGGGTACCCTTTTGGGGGTCCCCATAATGAGGACTATGGTATTTTGGGGTCTATATTGGGGTCCCCCTATTTTGGGAAACTACCAAATCCCCGTGTTTGAGTTAGAGACTAGAAAAGCTCTTCAACGAATGACACGAGCACTGAGTGCCAGCCTGTTGCTGATCCACCTTCGACCTGGGCTTGCTGAGGCAGCTGCACAATGTACCATGAAGCTGCATTCCGTAGATCTTGAGGTGTCCTATGAACCACAACATGTCACTAGCAGTTCATGGAGCTCTGCGTGCCAAGGACTGGATTGACTCGGCGCCAGGCAGCGCAGTGGCCAAAGCACATTCAGCAGATGGTCCTGGCCCAATGACCGCCATCAACCACAAAAGCCCAATAGTTTTCCACGGGCACACTCAACAAGAACATGCTAATATCCTGAAGGGGCCCCAACCGCTGTGGCCCTATGGAGAGACGGGAAAGATGCACACTTTGATGCGAGACAAAAATTTGCTCACAGAGACATGTTTACTACTCGTCCTCCACCCTGAAGGAGCTCAGCAGGCACCTTGCCGCATCTGGAACGGTCTCAGAGACACGCTTGCTCCAGACGTGCGCGAAGCGAGGGTTCATTTTCTGCCTCCACCTGCAGCTCCGTCAGGGCTTTCTGTTTGGTGTCCTGATGCAGCTTGGCTCCATACGTGTTTGAGCATCTGGATGCCCTACAGATCCACGGGACCGGCTCAAGATTTCAAATTAGTCCTGCAGCAAGAGCCCCCGGAATTTCTCTTCAGAGTCGCTTGATCGCAGCTCAGTGGCCTCCCGGGCAGTGCTCACATGAACTGCAGATGGTCTTTCCGGGTCATGCTGCGCAGCCACCATTTGCAGGGACAAGCGGCACCATCCAAACCCACTGCGCACCAGCATGCTTGCTGCGGACTACCATACTGTATTTACTACGGCGGCCGTTGATCGCAGCAGAAACACACATGCAAGCGCAGTTGCGGCTCCTGTGGCAGCAATGGTGGTAGTGGCAGCGAAGGCGGTGGTAGTAGCAGCAGTGGTAGCCGCAGTGGCAGTGATATAATGCTTGTGGTAGTTCTGATAGGAAAGCAAAACTACTAAACGCCGGATGTTCTTGTTCGAGAATGCTCCAAATATGTCAGTTTGGGGGCAGACCAACCAGCACAAAGACCCTGTCAGCCTTGTCAAGCAGCGCCTCCACAAGAGGCTTCTCGGTCGTCATCTTTGCAGCTACCTCAGATGGCGCTACGTGCCATTGCCCCGAACTTCATGGCCTCCACAAGTTCTGCAGACTATAAGCGCTAAAGGAACCTGGATTGCGTCTTGAAACCAACCATAAACCTGTCATCACTGCTTCCAAGGTGACGCCTAGATCGGCGCGCTCCACGCATGCGCAGCTGCAAGCCTGAGGTGAGTACCATACTGTCCCATTTCAGTGCCAGAGGCTGGCAAAGCACAGATAAGAGACAATTCAAGGTGAAGGCTTGGGAAGACCAGGACAGACCGACAACGCCAAGCCGCATGGGCAGCTTCTTCAGCTTGCTTCAGTGCCATGAAGGTGTCAAGGAGGGCCTTGTACAAGTCTCGGCACAGGCTGGCTCTTTTCGCACCAGGAGCAGCAAGCATCTGCACCTGCCTACCTCACTGACCCAATGACTTCAACGCGCTGCCAGTTTTGGGGGGAGGCTTGTGTAGTTTCGGCCATGCCCCACATGACCCGAAAGCTTCGACACACCATTCAGTGAGACAGTTCTTGAATGCCTCCAGCGCCTCACACAGCGCACCAATGTTGCCTGGTCAAGGAATCGGCTTCTATGAGCGAGTCTGATCTAAACAAATGGGCTGTTACGGGTTTTTGCTCTTGCAGACTATGACTATGGTGTCCTGCGCAGGCATCTCAAAGCTAAAACGCTACGGCGGGATTCACGTCATGCAAGCCTCAGATTGTACATTGCGCTTCCGGCCTCCCTCTTGCGCAGTGATCTGAGAGCGGCCCTTCTGCATGGCCTGTGCAAAAACAGAGAGACTTCGGGCAGTGCTGGTAGATTCCAGGTGCCAGAGATCACGTCTCGCCTCCTCCCAGGAGTCCATGGACGCCACCAGGGCGCGGGCTTGCTGGAGCTCCTACTTCAAACATATCAAGACGTGGGTTGAAAGCGGGCTGTCAGCGTTTCTGGCACGCTTGGCGCCGGCAATGTCTGGACTCCTTCGCTGGCCACTCTGCATGGGCGCTGACAGCCTCGCCTTGGGGTGCCACGGTTTTTGACATGTCCCGCTGCAGTCTCTACAGCTGCTCATTCCAAAATCTCTTTCAAAAGAAAATATGGTGCATGGCCAGCCTTGTGCAAGATTGCTCCTACCGCTTCTCAGTTCTGGCAAGTTGCTGGAAAGGATGCTGGCCTCCACCTGCTCACGAGGCTCTTTCCACGACAACCGCTCGGGAACGCCAAACAGCCCATCACGCCACGACAGCAGAAGCAGCCCACCCCAACACTTCTTATGTCTTTGGGAATTCTCGATCCACATGTCCGCACCTGCAGCAGGCCCTCGATCCGCCCAGCATCCTCGCAGAAGCTGCGGAGGTCGACCGCTGACTGCACCGTCTTCCTCGGACTCACTCGCTGCTGGACACATCTGGTAACCTGTATCCTGGAGAGCTGCCCAAGCCACTCCCTCTCGCGCAGCGACCACTGCAAGAAAGAAAGCCCCTCTTCTCCCCTCTATCGTCGGCAAAGGCAAACAGCACTGTCGAGATCTCAAGCCCATTTTGAGCTGAAAGTCTCTTGCAGCTGCTGCGCCGAAATTCGCAGCGCAGCAACCTGCATCTACTATCCAGCATGCCCACAACATCTGTGCAGCTAATTCAAGAGCAACAAAATGGGAACAAGCTTGCCCGAGGAAGGACCGTGATCGGGTTGTATGATATTACAAAGACTCAGTGCCTCCGTTTCGTGCTGCCGCAGCTTGGTCAGAGCCTCACGCTCCTGTGTGGAGTGCTGCTGCAGCTGAGCAATCAGTGGAACGGCTGAAGCGGCAGTGCACGTGTGTCGTTCGGATAAACACTGCTGTTAAAGATTGCCCCTTCCCTAACACATGCACGTGGTCCTCATTGGTCAGGGGATCTGCAATGAAGGCGGTAGAGTCCTCTGAAACAAGCTTTCAGCGGATCACGCGCAACTACTACCATACACGAACACTTGCAAGGCGCTTTTGTAGTTTGGCTGTTCAACATATTGCTGAGTTAACTGACCTCGCTAAATTCTGGCTGACTCAGAAAGGTGAGCAGCAAAAGACAATTTGGAACCCTGAGAGTAATTTCACTGCCGCCACCTACATTCTTACATTGAGAAATGCCGGTGGCCATTCCAAGCCTGCCCCATAGTCTAGTCCCTGTCCTACCTCCAGCCAAAATTATAATATACTATAGTAGTTTCCATTTTATTTTCCGTTATCCCAATATAACCCCAATATACTGTAGTAGTTTCCATTTTATTTTGCATTATCCAAAGAAATATCAACCCTAAACTTGCTTCGAGCTCTCAGAAGCCCAGTGAGGCCCCGGAGGTCCAGATCTTGAGCTGGAGTCTGCTTGTCTTCAGCCTGCCAGGTGAATAGTGTTTTTTTTGGGGTGGTTAAACCGTCAGAATATTTTCCTTATATAAGATACTATACCGCAAAAGGAGGGGTACCATAGTATCCCCAAATAAAATACTACTCAGGTGAGATGTGTCTCAAAAGAAGAGCTTGCAGCATTATGTCAGGATGCCTTGCTACAAACAGGGTTTCAGATACTTCGGGTAAGGGGAACCATGTTTTGAGACCAAGCCCTTGGGCAGGAGATGCGCGCGGCTGGCTTTTGACGTGCATCTCCGGCATCTAGGACTCATGAGCACAGGGATTGTGCTATTGAGTTGCTCTGAGCATCCTACAGTTGCCGACTGCTAGTTAGTTGTGGGACTGCCCCTCCTCTTCTCTCAATTGCTACTCTTTTCTTCTGCCTGTAGCGGCACCGAACGATTGCATGACCTTCATGATATACGGACCCTTCTGCTCACCTACAGCTTGATGGCCGCCCGGAAACTGAACACGCAAGATGTTTGGTCACAAAGCCCCTGCCTTCCTTCACAAGCAACAGCTCAAGCGACACAAAAAAAGGCCTGCTCTGCTTCAGCAAGCTTTTCCGGTGGAGCCGTTGTCGCATCCTCCTCCTGCTGAACCTCCGCTGAGCATGCAGCTTGCGTGGGGTCCTCCTGCACAGGCTCCTCCTGCAGAGACAATGAATTTAAAGCGAGCCATGCGGAATTCCAGATCTTCCGGTCGTTGGCTACAGTCAGCAGTTGCCGGAGTGCGAATAGCAAGGCCTTGTCCTTGTCGTTGGACTCGTTCGCCACTTTGTCTGCTTTCGCCTTCGCCGACTTGCTTTTCTTGGTCATGGCTCTTTTTGGCGAGACCAGCTCTAACTGCAATAGATGTGGAACTCAGTTGCTTCTCCATGGTAAGATGTCTTGCTGGCATTGGCATGCTGTCAAGGCTGCACAAAATGAGGATTTTCTGCAGAGCAAGCGCTCGGCTCAACGGGCCATTCGTGGCCTTCGCATCTCATGGTCTTCTGGGTCTGCCTCTTGCTTGGCTCTAGAGCACTGCTTAAGCAGCTGGCAGGTGTGATTTGATTGGAGGCATGTGTAGGATTGCGTCAGATTGCAGAAGGACTTGGAACAACTCAGAGAGTGGCGCGCATTTTTCATGAGAGGCCGGTTGGGGCTATGAGCGGTCTATGTGTCGGGGTAGCCTTGCAGCGAACGTCCAGCGCTTTCTCATGCAAATCTGAATGTGTAAGTCATGTCCTGAGCAGCAATCCATGCTTAAGTTCCTGACTAGAAGTCCTTTCTAAAGTCACAAAGACTGCTTTCGGTTGCAGGGACAATTAACACCCTTCAAACATGGCGAGAAAGCACTCACTGATCGCTTGCAAGCAAAAGATGCGCATGGAATACTGCTGTACCGCTATGGCAGCTGATTCCACAGGGGTTGTCGTATCCCATGCGCAGCCAAAGCTACGAAGCACATCTGCCAAGGCGTCTCAGTGCTCGTGCTGCACAAAATCGTAGACACCTGGCCACACCGGGGTCGCTTTAGCAGATCGCTTTGTAGCTGCACGGCAGATTCAGTGTAAGTTAAGCTCTCATACAACCACGCGATGTACAACCACGTGCAGCCGTGCTCTAAAGCGCTTCAGGGACCCTTCCGTGCATTTTCTGAGCTGGAGCTATACAAAAAGTCTCAGCAATGACCTCATTGAACCTTGCTTGCCGACAATAGTTCGCGTCAGCATGTTGCTGCTTCCATGACACACACACACACACGAGCACACACAAAAATGTTTGTGGCATTCGGCAGGAAAGCAAGGGAGCCCACTGCCCAATATTTCTTCTGGCGGCCTTGCGTGGGAGTTGCCACTCTTCTGGCTGTGTGATTGCTAGTTCGTGCACTCGCCTGCGCTTTGTTGCTCTGGAAGTTTGGCAGGAATGCCTGACAACACCTGGTTGGGGCGCCTGTCGGCAAGCTCGCTGGTATTCTGCCAGAGAGCCATGACAAATCTTAAAGAAAGGAGCTGCAACGACCCTTTCCCATAAGAACGAAGCAAATTATCAGGACTTGACATGCCAAGGGCAGAGAAAGCCAAGCCTGTTTGCTTGAGTGCTGCTTGCGAGCATTGCTATTCTGAGCATGCCACCTGACTGGACTGCTTTTGTTTGAGGTCGGGCTATGTATGCATGGAGTCACGACCCAAAGCATCACATTACATCTCTGCAGCCCAAAGAAAGTAACCCCTAAAATCCCCGCAGTTTCCATTATCCCAATATTGTCCCAATAAGCCAATAAGCAGATCAGCCTCGGTGTTGGAGGCATCAGGCATCCTGCCATTTGGCAATGCAGTTGGAGCTGCTGACCTTGAAAAACCAGTAATCAAGGTGGCCAAACATCAGGAAACCGAGAATAGCTTGGTATGCCAGCATGCTGCAAGGCACGAAGGCACGAAGGCACTGAGCAGGCACCCTTGCTCTTCCCCCGTTTCCCTTACGAGCTCTTACACTGAAAGTCAATCCAATTCATTCCAGGCGGCAACTGAAAATCTGTCGTCACCGATGTCCAGATCGACCTCCCATATTTGCAACCGTGAGTTGAAAAGGTGCTAGCGTGTGGCGGGTGCCGGCATGTCGCAGAACGGCAGCGGGACACATGCAAACTTCGGCCGTGACATGCTCCAACGTCCCACCTCGTCCCCATAGCGGAAGCGGACCATGTCACCCACCTGTCTTTCAGGGTGGCCAAGCGTTTCCCCCAGGCCCCGTCCCCTCTCTCTCAGCCCCGGAAGGCTCTCACTTTCCTAAAGTGGTTCCCACACGATGCCTTGCATGGCTTCCTACATTGCAGGAAAGCCCCCCTGCTGCTTCACAGGGGCTGCTTGGACGCAAAGGATTCGAATTCGCTAAGCTTGTGTGAAACCATAGGACAAGCCCTCTACTTATGGAACAGAGCCTGGAAGTGGTCCCAAATCAGGGCTTGACTTCCAAGCAACCTCTCAACATCAAAGTAGAACTCGGTAAGATGCATCTGATCATTGAGTGGGGGCGGGCAGGTGAAGTTCATTGAGTAGCCAAGCACCTCCTTCGTCACGTACCCGCCAGGGGGAACCACAAGCAAGTAGTCGACCCCTGTGACCAGGTTTTGCCTGTGATTCCATGACTTCTGCTGAAAGATGGTACCCCGGCGAAGGGCAATCTGCAAAGTTTCTGAAGACAAGGACCTCAGGGTGATTTTGAGGTTGTCGACACCAAAGCCGTCAGCGACAACATCCTCCAAGAAAACAAGGCCTGCACGAAGTGCAGCAAGCAAATCCTCACCAATCCGTGGTGCAGGGCGCTCTTCTGCTTTCTGGAAGCCGAAATATGTCGGGGGTTTCAGTTCTGTGCCTGAGACCAGCCAGCTGAGGTGAGCCATCAGCTGACCACTTGCCACTCCGGGGGATTGCTGCCCAGAGTCATACTCCTCTATTGCTTGCTGCGTCAAAGCCTGCATCTGCCGCTGTTCTGTCGCCCAAGCGGCCGCCCATTCCTCCTGCTTCCGGTAGACATCGCCCCGGACCTGTGCACTCGGCACCACGCCTTCCCATAGCATGAAGCCCAGCAGCTTGGGGCTCTGCCGTGGATCTGCACCAAAAGCACTCAGAAAGGCTCGAGGCAGTGGGAGGCCTTGTTGACCATCCTCCAGCTCACAGCCCCAGTCTAAGAGCATGTCTTCAAGCTTCTCGCAAAGTTTCTGGTGCTCCTCGGCCGAGAGCTGGAAATTCTTGCTTCCTTTCCTGCCATTCATGGTCCATGTACCGCCTGTCTCGACCAGTTTGTTGGGATTTGCTCGAAGGAAGAGTTCCAAGGCCTTGGGGCCATCGGCACCCGGTCGCCACTGTCGAGGATGACATGCCAAGGCTGGTGCGGGCGGTGCTTCCTCGCCAGGCCTCAGCTCAGCCGCACGCTCCTCCAGGTAGTCCTGCACTAAGTAGGTATGTTATCAACTTTTCATCGCCCCTCTGAGCAACTAGATACTATTACCCAACTCTAGCTTAGGTTTTTATCTGTGGTGTCCCCGAAATACTGGCAATTACATGCAATTACCATTATTTGGGAAATATGGTGTGATTCAAGATTTTCCCCAAATTTACTGCAGGTCCTGCATCTCGAAGTGCTCGGCCACGCGTTGCGCGATGCGCTGGCGCTCAGCTGCGGCTCTGGCGAGCGCTCTCGAGGCATCCTCGGCCTTGTTCCTAAGGCGCGCCACCGTGGAATCTGCCAGGCCACAGTTCTCGAGCTCGATGCTGCAGCCACGGTCCAGTGGGAAGGATTTCAGCAGCTCTGCCCCCAGAAGTGCAGCAGAGGAACAGCCAGAAAGATTGATGAAGCAGAGTCTGCAAGGCGTATCTTGCATGAACGCAATGATCTCCCTGATACCGTGTGGTGTGATCTGCGCTTCGCCAAGCACTAGCTCCTCGCAGCCCCCCTCTGCTACTGCCTCCAGAATCTCGCGCAGATCTTCATCAAAGGCAGATGTGGCGTGGTAGAGTGCTGGGTAGCTGGAGAAGTCTGCCACTCCGTCTGGCCCCGAACCGCCCTTTCTTGTCAGCTCCACGCGTTGCCGGAACTTTGCATGCTGCAGCTTCGTCCTGGGCGGATCTCCAAAGGTAGGTCCCGCCACGAAATCGAGGCCAAACGGACCGGCATCGCCATTCTTGCCAAACTGCTCGATCTCCAGCTGAGAAATGAGCTCCTGTGTCATGAGCCTCCGGTCCACGAATGTCTCTTCGGGAAGCAGGTGCTCGAAAATCTCCTGCCTTGTCTCCACGTCGGCCCCATAGATGACCTCAGAGTTTCCTAGGTTACTCCTTACCTATGCCATCCTCGAAAAGGCAAACCACAAAAATCTAAGACATCCCCAAGATCTGTAGAACTCCCACCTCCGTCTTCACACGCTCCTCCGGACTTACCTGTTGGCTGTCTAGGCTGCGCAAGCGCGGCAGGCGATGTAGAACTTGCGCACGGTACTGCGGAAGCTGAGACAGGGGATTTGGGTGCATGTACAACTCACTCAGAAAGTTGAAGTCTGCAAGCTGGTCCACCTCCTTCATCTGCGAGATCCGATTCTCCGATGCCCGCAACTTGCGCAGACGAGGAATGTCCTTCGCATGCAGCGCTTCGATGGTTGTGATGTTGTTGTGACGTACATCAAGGCTGTGAAGCTTGCCCAGAGTCTGGACGCCTTCCAAGCCGTTTAGCTTGTTCTGTGCCATGCACAGTGTGCGCAGCTCCAAGTTGTCCAGGTTCTGCAGTTGGAGGATGAGATTCTCCGAGAGGTCCAGCATTCGCAGCTCCTTGTTGCCTTTAAGCCCATTGCCGATGTAACTGATGTAGTTGCCTCGCAAATTGAGCTCCCTCAAAAACCTGTGAACATTCCAATCCCCCAGCTCTGCAAGCATGTTGTAAGACATGTCACAGGTCTCCAGCCCATCAGGAGCTGTGAAATTCTGACTTCTAATCAGCAGGTTATGGCTGGCATTCAAGTGAAGTAGATGTCTGAGAGCACCAACTGGCTCCAAGCCCCTGAGGCGATTTCGCGACACGTTGAGAAATTGCAGCTGCTCCCACTGTCGGACCTTCACAAGGGAGGTGAGGTCCATACCCATGAGATCGCACCGTACATAGGCATGCTGGCGGGTTCCACTGTCCCCGAGCTGCGACAAGCCCTCACGAATCTGATCCTCAGTGACCGGCACGGGATCATCTCTGACCGTCAGTGTCTCGTGCGGCAACCAGAGCTCCATTTCACCTTCCACTGGTGCCGCAGTCCAAGTCGGCTTCTCCTCTCCAGTAGGCTGTGCCACCGTAGGTGGAACAAGCTGCCACTGCAAACCATAGTATGTGTTCGCCGCACTAAGCGCTTCATCCACAACCAACTGTACAGTTTCTGGGAAGAAAGCGGAGGACTCTAGGTATCCCCAGCCACCGTATCTTTGTACGAAAGCTTCAGCTTCTTCAGGCTGCACCATGGGCACCAGGTCACCAGCCACCTTGGAGCGCTCGCGCAGGTCGGTTGCCAAAGACACGAGGATCCAAGGCGTCTCACACTGCATCTCCCAAAGCATCGGCAACCACTTCTTCCGTATGCTGGTCATGGACTCCAGCCTGTCTGGACGGAAGCAAAGCAGGAGAGCATGTGAAGCATAGATGGCGGCGCGAAGCATTTTCTCGAACCTAGGGCTGGCTGCACCATCCGTGAAACGAACCCGACACAACTCCCCCTCCAACTCCACCATTGCCACCATACTTTCCAAGTTTGGCAGATCGTCAAAGGGCACGGAGTCCTCAGCAAAGTCCTTGCTCTTGGTGGTTCCACCACTGGCAACGCTAGCGATTTGCTTATAGCATTGCAGAAAAGCGGACTGCCCGATCCCGGACTCCCCGAGCATGCACACGTGCAAGCATCGGTCTGGCTGCATGGCGCCAAAGGCAAAACACCACTCAGCAGTTTCAAATCTCTAGGCCTTCTGTGCTTCTGTGCGGGGCCATGTGTCTGTGGGCTCGGTTCAAGCATGTGACGGCATAGCTGTTGTCATCTCACATTATCGGAACTTTCGGGCTGCGAGGCGGTTGCAATCCATGAATGCAAGGGTATCCACGGCATACGAGGAGGGCGAGAAGAAGAGGGGCAAAGCAAGAAACAGAGGGTGTGTGAGTGAGCACCCAGAAAGCACGAAAAGGGGAAGCGACAGAGATCACAAGAAAGGATAAGCAATGTGAGGGGAGAGGACGAAGCAGTGCTTCAGGCAACTTTGACAACTCATCCCCTCACCTGAACTGGTGCCGGCTGCTCGTCTCCTCAGAAAAACTGTGAGAAGCGCAGCCTTGTCTGCCATCAAGTGCAAAACACGACCATGCAGAACTGAGCTAAATAGCCCAAACCTCTTAGTGCCCATCCGTTGGCTAGGACAATGCCTGGGCCGACAGCAATGACCTGACAGAAGCTCCCAGGGTCCGCAAGCTCCAGGGCAAGACATACGCTCTAATTTTTCGGCTTATGGAACCCACTCCCTTTCCACTCTGAGCTCCTTGAAAATGAGCGGAAGGTCCACAAAGGCCCATTGCACAACCCCCGCATACCTCCGCCACTATCCGCCAACCTTGGGGGGCG